CAGGCAACGGGTGGGCCTTTTAACATTTCGTCGTGGGGGCACTAATATATAATTTTCTAGATTGCGTTCAACCCTCTTCTTTCATTATTACTTCCTACGCATTGTTTTTAATTCAATGTTTTTTATCAAGCCATGAATTCATGTGGGGCACCTGGAGCACAAAAATTTTGTGGGCACGTGGCCCCCAGCCCCCGTAGCTACGCCCCTGTGTGTGCACCGCGCGTGCGTGTGTGTGCGTGCGTGTGTGTGTGCATGCGCGCACGTGCGTGCGTGTGCGCGCGCGTGTGTGCGCGCGTGCGTGTGGGCGCGTGCGTACACGAATACTCTCACTACGCCACTGCCCAATATACAACCCAAGGCGAGTTGGACGTACGAGAGCGGAGCTGGGTTGTGTCAGATGTAGAAGGTTGTGTTGTGCTGTGGCCAGGTGCGCTTTGTATATTCACGCGATAGCAGTAGTTACTAGTTACTGAGGATTATGGCTTGAAGCGGTTGATACTTTTTTGTTGTTATTTTAGTTCTACTTGTGTTTACAGTAGGAATGTTCTCCAAGGTCATAGCATGGTCTTCCAAACAAACACTTGATTCCAGAGCTCCGTTGTTATTTTTCTAATGATACACGGGAGCTAAGGTCACCGACGACCAGGAGCTAGATATACATGGCTGTATATCAAGCTTCTTGCCCAACAGGGGCACATGGGGGCTAAACTCATTGCGAGCAAGGGCCTAACGGCTATATACCTAAAACCAGAGGAATGCAAATTTTTCTCTCCAATTTAAACAGTGGCGTAACTTAGGCATTTTTCACGGGGGTCGGCACTGGGCGGGGGCCTTACATTTTCGTTTTGGGCACTTAATATATAACTTTTCTTTGTTATTATACGTTCTAACGCATGTTTTTAATTCAATTTTTTTTTATCAAGCATGAATTTTCAGTGGGGGGGCACCTGGGGGGGGCACAGAAAATTTGTTGGGGCTCGTGCCCCCCCCAGGCCCCTTCCGTAGCTACGCCCCTGAATTTAAAGGCATCTTTAACGTTTTAAGCAAGGATTATAATTGCCAGAACTCTAAATAACAAATTAATCAGCTATTTCATCCCGCTGATAGTTTTCACAAGTAACTGCTATTGACACAGCAGTACAAACGAAACGCGACGGCCGTTTTAACCCGACACGGGGGGGTGGGGGGCAAATCGCGGCCAATACTTTGCTTGGTTAGATAATATAATAAAGAAGAAGAAGAAGGGGTGGGCAGAAGAAGGAGGATAATGAGGAGAAAACAACTACAAGTAAAAATGTAGTGGATGAACAAAGGGAGGATGACGACGAAGGTGGCGGCGGAGAAGCAGAAGAAGGAAAACTACCTCATATTAGTCGCTCATAGGGTGCGCTGTCTAGCAACATGTCTGCGCCCATGATAGACGTAACGTGCTGAGGTAACGGGGAGGTAACATCGTAGTTATAACAAGTACAAGTAGTTCAAGTAGTAGTACTAGTAGTAGTAGTGAACAGTCGAGCCTGGCCCTAGGCTATGGACTCAATTAATGCAAATTAGCAACTGGTACATGGTCGTATCATAGAACTTAGAAGTGCACCATGGGCAAAGTTCAATTGGCTGTGCGGCCACTTCGGTTCAAGGATAGAGAACATGGCCATGGGTCCCAATAAAACCAATGTCATTTACATCAATATAAATATAATGCCCAATGGTTCAAGGATAGAGAACATCATCATGGGTCCCAATAAAACCAATGTCATTTACATCAATATAAATATAATATTATATCAATATAATAGGTTAGGGTTATGGTTAGGGTTAGGGTTAGAATTAGGGTTAGGGTTATTGTTAGGCACATTGGTTTTATTTGGACCCATGTTCTCTATCCTTGAACCAACCTGGCCTACATAAATATGGCTACATGATACATCCACCAGATCCACGTATAGGTTGTAGGCAGTGGCTGGAGGTACGGCAGCCGTATCTCCAATTTACGAGGCTGGAGGTACGGCAGTCCATTCGCTTTCATACAAACGAGAAAAAGATGGCGGCGGGATGGCCGCAGATTTAGAAATAATGCCTTGGGAAATAAATTCACAATTTGAGAGTTTTGACGAGATAGAAAACACTCGGATTCCAGCCAGCCCAGCCCAGCCTAGTCCAAGCCGACGCAGACCCCATGCAGTAATGGTAACGGTATATATAAACCCGCACCCTCAGATTAGCAAAGCGGAGTTATAACGTTTGCATTTGCGGACTAAACCCAGCCCAGCCCAGCCCAGCCCAGTGGACTAGAGGAAACGTGTGTCCCACAAAAAGTTGAAACTTTCTTACATGTGGTATATATGTGGTCGGGTACGTGTATGTAGGTGTTTCATAAAAAAAAATCATGACTTATGGTGAAATGCCACTTAAACTTTAAAGGTTCCACTACAGTGTAGTAAATGTTAGGTTAGATATAAACCGACCAGACTCTCCGACTATATAGTTACACGGCGGAGGAGCCTGACACCACTGGAGCCTGAGCTAGGCCTCTCGCCACGTAGTGTTAAGCGAGATGGGATACCCTGTAACAGCGGCAACGTCCCCAGTACCTTTACCATGGAGTGGCCGCCCCCCCAGGGGGGGGGTTTAATTGCCCCCGTCTTACTGGTATCCCACAAATAAACTATAAATTGTCAGAATAACAGAGCTATGACTATTATAAGCGGTTCACAAATTCTTAGGAGGGTGGGGCTTACAGCATCCACCCACAGCTGGCTGGTTGCGTCCGTGAACGTCGTTTTTTAGCACTTCGTGATGAGCAGCAGCACGCCCACCATTCATTTCTGCACAGAAGTTTACATCATTAATACCAATTAGATAAAAATCCGTCTTTTTAATGTATGGTATGGAGGTTAAAAGCGCACAGTGGTGAGACCCGGAGGGCTGAGGCGTTTTTGCAGCCAAAATCGCAATGTGAAGGTCAATTGTCTCTCTCTGACGCCTTTCCCTGGAGGTTCAACTGCCCCTATCACAACACTGGTCTACTGGAGCTGAGAAAAGTCAAGAATGTCACTATGACTAAATGTTAGTAGAAGTAATTAAAAACGATTAAACTAAAACAATAAAGTACTAATTGAGTCATTATAGAACTCTTTAATTATACAATTGACTACAATAGATAAAACAGTAAGCAGTAATATTGTATCAAATATCTGTAACGATACTAACAGTGTCTAGTACGCCAGTACACAAATTAGGATCAACATGTGAATATATGGGAATATAAATTAATAGACTGTCAGGAAAAGCCATAATAATCAATAATAAATTTTACCTGTGTGACTTTCCTTAGGTCGATTTTGCTTGACTGAACTATACTGAACATATCTAATACACACATGATGTAATATACTCTATGGCCGTCTCTATTCATACATACCATTTTGTAAAAATAAAAGGTTATAATATGACGATACGATAAATATATGACAACAAGTAATCTAAACCAAAAGTATTGCTACATGCACCTATCTAGAAATTATAAAAAACATAATACTACTATTGTAAATATACTTGTTACTAACAGTTGGAACATCATGTATTAGAAGGCCACCATCAGAAGAAAATCGAGACCATTATTCACCAGCGAGAACACTGATTAAAAATCAAATCAATACAATAACATTGTGATAAAAATGATAAATTAATGTACCATACTGTATTAAAATAAAGCAAGGAAATCACAGTCTCCTACTACACGAGCATTATCTCATCTTTAGAAGAACAGAAAAACATTTTTCACAATTAAAAATGTTTAGATCAGGACGAGGGCAAAATATCTATAGAGAACAGTATTTACTACATTTATACGCGTGAGCCGATATAATACGATAATTCTAGCCTTAGATAATAGTAATTTACAATTCAAGTTGGGTTAATTTAAGTACAATTTACATAAAGCAATCATGGTCACTGCAACCGTGTGAAATGCAGCAAAAGATTGCGATACATTTTTACAACTATTTCTCGCAGGACCAGCAATGCTCCATCAGTGGCCATGGCAGCCATCCACTTTTCCTTGTGCTCCTCCTTGGCAGCTTTCTCTTTCGGAGAGGGAGGTCAATCATCATCAAGACATTGCCAAGACTGCGCTTTGGGTTAACGGCGCACCCTGAGTTGCGTTCGCTGAAGCAGCGTGGTATGGGAATGCTGTGGTTGTCGGTTTCAAACCGAACCCACCAGGGTGGTGGTGGGAGACGTCAACGAGCTAACACTGCGAACGGGGCATTGTGGCAAAAGACACCACAGTGCAGCATTGTCTAGTTGAAATGGAGGCGTGGCCAGAGCCAGGGAATGCCAGGCAACAAACTGGCAAAGGCTCTGGGGAGTAAGGTCGCATGCGTGGATGGAAGATGCGGGAACATGCGCGTCGGAAGCAGGCTGGGAAGCGACAGCTCTGGTTCGAGACGAGATATGCTGGATAACGATATGTAGAGCATCGGATGCGAGCTCAGGTTTGCCGCGTCGTCACCTTACCTCTACCGACGCGTCACGGCGAGTGTGTCCGGCAAGATTTCGCGGCGAATAAGACAGGAACCCCGCGGCGTCTGCTGCCTGCACGCTCGGCCAAACGGTTGCTGGGCGTGACCGGGGTTGTCCGGCGAAGCGTAGCCCGTCCGCCGGGAAACAATTTGCAGTTTGCGCTGGACACCCGAAACAAAAGTCAGCCTCGGTGTTGCCGGCAATGGAGTTTCGGCGCATGTCGTCGTGATGACGGACACTGCTGGCAGTTACGCCTGCAACGCGGGAGAGAGTGCGGGAGTTGCGACCCTTCGAGCGAGGCCAACGGACTCCTGGTCTGCGAGTCGGCGTCTCGCAGATGACGCCGCAGGCGCGGATACGTGCTCTGAGACGTTCGTGTTGTCACTCATCGGCTTGAAAGCTGGACGCTGCCGAGTTTCGTGCGGGCAAACGGCTGATCGTGCGCGGCATGCTCTGCTGCTGCAAGCACTGACGACAAGCATCGCTCCCGGCTCCGCTAAAACGCGACTCAGCTTCTCTTCGCACTCCGCATCCGAGGCGTGTGCCGTCGCCTGCGGGAGCGGACTGCCCGTGTGTTCTCCCGTCGCTGTTGGCCGTGAGGCCGCAGGAAGCGTAAACTGGGTTTCACCAGGATTATCTGTCCGCGATTCATTTCCGTCGACTCCTGGGAATCTGCTGTGCGTGCTACCCACATTGGCTGCTTGTTTGCCCCCTGCGCCGCGGGGTTTTTTCAAATGGTGTCAGCGTGGCGTTCGTTCGTATTCGAAGATGGGTTTCTTCGTCCAGTGGCTTTGCTAGATGCCGTGGCGTTGCTTTCGATTCTGATTCGAGTCGCGGTTCGTCTCCGCTTTCTGCTTGCTACGCATCAGAATTTACCTGTGATTCCAGGCTCCGTTTTG